ATGAAACCTGTCTCATGGCCTGCGGGGCAGAGCACAGGTCCCTGCTGGGGGAGCTTTGCCCAGGTGCTTTCCTCTGCCGTGCTGGGGCTGGCACTCAGCGCCTCACATGCCAGGCCAGTGCCCCACCTCAAGCTGCACCCCAGCCCTTCCTGGGCCTTCCTCAGGCTGATCCTTTGGTGACCCTTTACCCAGGCCTAGGACCCCTCCCACACGCACCCCCACATTCCAGTGATCTGTGCTCGCCCCTCGTCCTCTGCTCTGGGCTGACACGCCCATCCCGTCCTATCAGGACATGCCAGCTCGTGCACGGCCAGATGCCCCTTCCCTGGGGCCGTCGGCCTCATCCTTCACTTGCCAGTCACCAATCTGCCACCACTCACTCATTCTCAAACACTCCTGGCAGCTTCTCCCTGCCAGGCCTTGGGCCGACCCGTCTGTGTGCTCCAGGAGCTCTGCTCAGTGAGAGAGGCGGACAGAAAAATGGACAGTCACAACCTAGACACAGCAGTCATGGGGGCCCAGTACAGGAGCTCAGAGGGACAGAAGGACCGGGTCAGCTGTGTTGGTGCCAGAAAAAAGGGCAAAAGGAGAGACAGAAGGAAGAAGAGGAGAACTGGCCCCTTTTTCTCCTCTCTGACAGGACCTGGGCCCCACCCTGCCCCCTCCAAGTCAGCCTTTGGGGTTACAATGCCCCCAATAGTTTGTCCTGCCAATAGGCCCTTTTCCCTAGCCGTGGAGTTTAAATATTGATTCCGTCCAATCAAGGATGGTTAAAATTCAACCCTGCCGGCTCTGGAAGCTGTCCAGCTACAGGGGCTAGAGCAAAGCAGCAGGAAGCTGAGAGGGCTGGAGAGCCAGGGGCATCACTGGGGCTTGGGGTACCGCGCAGCCTGGGCAGGCACAGCGCTGACCCCAAAACATTAGATATTATCCCAATTATGTTACACAGATGACTCTTTCTGTGTATCCTTCTCTCTGCATCTTGCAGAGGTGATTTTGGGCCTCCTACCTAGCCCAGCTCACAGCACTCACCTACTTCCCACCATTCTCATAGTTGCTCATCTTCAAGCCACTCTTTTCTTCACAAATTAATAAAACCCAGGTTTGGCCCTGGGTATAGGCCTTTGTTCTAGCTAGCCATCATTGTGGCTGGACTTAGGACCCTTGGCTCCCCATAACTACATGTATGCCTTAGTGTCATTAATCTCCCCATGGGTTGCACTGGAAAGTGGTAGAGTGGAATTAACTCAGTAGAATTTCAATAACTTTTCATGGGATTACAAATGTAAACTTCCTGGGCTGTGAAGAGGACTGTAAAGGGCTCTCTACAGGCTGGCCCTCACCGGTTGCCTCAGGGTAAGGGGTCTGGTTCTCCTGAGTCAGCCACTCAGGGCCTATCTTATCTGATACACTTAGATGAGATCTCTAGCTTACCTCATAGAGCCTTGAAAATGGGTGTCCCACCGGATGGCCACCTCTGGCCCTCCCTGTGGGTTACCACAAGCAGGGATAGTACAGCCACTATGACCAAGGGCTTCCCAGGACTTGGATGCTCTCAGTGTGGCTGCTGGCCCCAGCCTAGAGCACAGAAGGGTCGGGAGCTGGCAGCCTTCCTGCCTGAAGCAGGAGTTCCCTGCATCCCCAGGGACCCAGCTCTACTCAGCAGCCGTGAACTGAGGATGGGGTCCTCCAGTTGTGTTGTGGCTCCTCTGTCTCTGGGGGAGCCTGATCTTGATCTTCTCTGTCCCCTCCTCCCACCCCACCGTAGCTCTCACTCTGTTCACATTCCCAGGGACTCTCCCACCTCTCGGTGTCTCCCAGATAGAAGGCAGCTGCCAGTGAGTGTGGTCCCCCAGCGGCAGCCATGGCAACCCACACAACCTGTTAGCGATGCAAATCCTCAGTCCCAGCCCAGCCCACCACAGGTGGGAGGCTCATTTGGGACCCAGCACTGTGTTCTGCTTTCGCTTTTGGTTTTGTTCTGCGTTTCTGGGGACAGAAGCCAGCACCTCATCCCTGCTAAGCACTGCTCTACCGCAGACCATCTTAGCAGCGCTCCTGGACTCACTGGTAATTCTGGACACTGGACAGCATCTGAGGTGCAAACCTCAGATTAAAGCCTCCTTGGGGCCGCAGGGGAGGCTCGTGGCAGAACTCTGCCTGGCATGCACAAGGCCCTGAGTCCTGTTCCCACTACTGCCGAAAGAAAAAACAAAAGTAAATAAACAAAATATGTTGTGAATTACTCATTAAAAAAACACAAACTCTTGCCTCCTATTGGCCTCCTAGGAGACAAGGTCATTGAAATTTTAACTAAGCCATTTAATGGGTGTAACAGTGCTGTGAGGCTGACAGAGCATTGGCCCCAGTTGAGGGGTGAGGAAAGCAAGGCACAGAAAAGTTAAGCAACCTTGCCCAGGGCCACCACGCCAGGAGCGGAGTATGAAGCCAGGCATCCTGTTACCCACTACACCCCACAGGGTCCCCACAGTGTGGATTTCAGGCCAGCAGCATTAGCCTCGTGGGCTGGGAACCGTTCAGCAATACAAGTCTGAAGCTCTGGGGTGTGGCTGGCACCTGGTAAATGAGCTGCACAGGGCCTGGTGAGGCAGCTCAAAAACCCAGCTCAACACTCTGCTCCCCAAAACGCAGCCCATCCCTGCAACTGCTCTGGGAAGCTTCTTGCCCACTTTGCTCAGGGAACGTTTGCTGGGACAGCCTTGGGCATGGCTCAGCTCCTACATGGGGAGGCAGCTGCATGAGGCTGTGCCTCATGGGCCCAGCTGCCATGTTCCCCTGAGGACTGATGGGAGGAAACTGCTTCAGGAGAGCATTCTGGGCACGCTGGGCCTCTGCCACTCCGCTGTGTCCTGGGGACATAGCTACTGGCTCCTGTATCTCTCGGATTGCACCAGGGCTCCCTGTGGCCCAGAGGCTATGCAGCCACATGGGGCAGCCAGTGGCAGAGAAAGAAAGCTGAGGTGCAGGTTACTCCCCAGCACTGGCTCCATGGCTCTGGGGCCTTGGTGAGCTTCCTAGTTCCATTCTGAGCTTTTGATTGTAATCGCACTGCTGTAGACTGAATGTTCGTGTTACCCCCAAATTCATGTCAGGGTCACTGGATTAGAGGTGGGGTCTCTGGGGGCGCAGAGATCCTGCCGATGGTGCCCACGTGAATGGGATTAGCGTCCTGTTAAAAGAGGTCCAGGGAGCCCATGCACCGGTGTGAGGACAACGCTGAGAGGATGCCTCTGTGACCTGGGTAGTGGGCCCACACCAGATGCTGAACCACTGCGGCCTTGAGTGGACTTCTCTACCTGCAGAACTGTGAGAAATATATTTTTATTGCTTGTAAGTCTCCCAGTTTGTAGTATTTTGCGATAGCAGCCTGTACCAACTCAGACACCCCTCAGCTGCAGGATGGTGACAGCTGTTTCCCACTGTGCTTAGAACACAAATCTGAACAGCCCTGCACATATGCACACCCCCGCAATGCAACCCACTGACCAGTGGCACACATGCACACTTATGCATGTGTGTTCATGTGTGCACATACATGTATACCTACATACCCATATGGTATGCAAGGCCCCATATCAGTAGTGTCATAGAATAGGACACAGCCCACCAGTGGGCCAGGAAGTCACCTTAGTAGGCTAGGACCTGCATTTCTAAAGAAAAAAATCCAAGTATTATTTTGTGAAACTCCTCATATGCAAGTGTGTACTGTGACACTGACAGTTGTGAGAATCGCTAGATTCTCTGATGTAGCCCCTGACCACTCCCACCTCCCAGGGTGTCTCTCATTCAGCTCCAAAGGCCTGCCTCTGGGGTGCTGGGCAACACCCCATTTCCTACTCAGGGCTCCACTTGGGCTGCTCCATTTCCCTGGGAGCCCCACTCAATGCTGTCCTTGGGCTCCCTGCTTCACCAATGTGGTCTCATTTCAGACCCCAAAGGTGCAGGGCAGGAGCATCCGGTGCCCCAGAGAAGACCAAGCATCAGTGAGGGGCCCAAGGCTACAGCCCCCACTCGGGCCCACTCTGCCCCTCCCAGGGGTGTGTGGCAAGCTGAGCAGAGAAGGGCCTGCCGAGTGCAGGGCAGAGGAGCTCGGGAACGCTGTGGTCTGGGCAGGAAGGTTTCTGAGCAGGGTGGGGGCTGCCAGAGAGCATAACTGGAGTAGGAAGGGGGGGTTGAGGTGCCATCCCTGGCCTCAGCAGGTGGCAAGGGGGTGGGGGTCGCATTGCCAGTGTCACAGGGAGTGTCTGCCACAGCCCACCTCCTGATCACACTTTTAAATGCATGGCTTCTTGTTTAGGGCAGGCTACTATTCAAAGCAAACAAACCAAACAAACAAAAACAGGAAGTGTTGGTGAAGAAGTGATGAAGTTGGAGCCCTTCTTGAGCAGGGCTAGTGGGAATGCACAATAATACAGCCACTCTGGAAAACAGCATGGCACTTCCTTTAAAAAATGAAACTCCATACGATGCAACCATCCCATTCTAGGTTTATAGCCAAAAGAAAGGAAGCGGAGTCTGCACACATCCATATACATGGTATTGATAATAGTCGGAAGGTGGAGGCCAAGAATCTACTGATGGACCAATACACAAAATGCTGCCTGGCCACACAGGCGATTTTTCAACCCTGAAGAGGGAGAAGAGGCTGATGACACCCGCTGCAAATTAAGGCAGGCAGGAAAAGACAAATACTGCACAATTCCATTACATCACACACCTTGTGTCATCAAACTCACAGGAACAGAAAGTGGATGGCGGCTGCCCGGGGCCAGGGAGGGAAAATAGGGGTTAGTGTTTCACGGGTTCAGGGTTTCACTATTGCAAGGTGAAAGCCTGAATCTCTACAGAGGACAGTGATGGCTTCCCACTGGGAACAACTTCATGCCACCAACTGCGCACCTAAAAATGGCAAAGATGGTAAAGTTGATCTCTTACAACAATTTAGTAAGCAAAACAACTCAAGGCCTGAGCCACAGGGGTTGCTTTCAAATGAGTTTTATTGGCTTTCTGAACAAAGCACAGACCCCACCAACAGATCTGTCACCTGCACAATGGTACAAGAATGAGAGGAACACATCCTTTATTTCAGGTACCAAAAAAAAAAAAAAAAGCTGGAAATATGACAAGTTAGGTCTCAATGGCCAATTCTTCATGATCTGTCACATTCACCCAACCTGTATTTTCAAGCAGAGGAGACAGAGAGACAGAGGCAAACATACTCATGCTCAGCTTGAGTGGGCCCAGCAGCATGCCCAGGACCCCTGAGTCACGGCCCCATCCCTGCTGCTGCACCTCAGGCAGTGCAAACATTAGATTCCCCACTCTTCTTTTGGCTCTCTCTACTTCTTTGCAAGCCTGGCGTTTTCTCCCTCTGTTCCACAGACAACAGGAAAAGAGTCTTTTCCATTTATTCTACCAAGTTGTTAATGATTTTCAAGGCTTCAGTGACTCAGGCCAGCCCGGTGAGCAACGATGGACTTGGAAACTTGTGACACACTGCAGGACTCCAGCATGTTCCCGGTAAAGCCCTCTCTAAGTTAACAACTCTGCTTAAGGGGCTGAGGCTGACTAGGCAAGAGGTCACTCAGGCAACAGCCACCCTTCGCTTAGGACCCCAAGCCAGGACTTCGAACTCCTCACCCCATGCTGTTCCTTTCAAAGGCACACGGCCCCTTCCCCCAGCAAATCCTATTATTCCCCACTCAACAGCCTCTGTCTCCTTATTAAAGGTGAAACCTGGTAAACAGGGGAAGATTTATCCTGACCTTGCAATCCAGGCTAGCCCATTGGCCTAACAGCAAAGAACTCAGCTTCAGCTTCCAGTTCAAGATGACAGCCTGGGCAGTGAGACGAGCAGGGTTGAGATACAAGGTGTATCTTTCATTCCCTGGAGTTCACTTTTCAAAGCTGCTGCCTCCAAGAAGCCAAGCCTAGAACACACGGTGGGGGTGGCAGAGAGGGCCTACCAAGAGCTTGTTTACCCACCAGGCCCAGGTCCCTGGACTCAGAGCTCCCAGGAAAGACACTGGACAAGAGTGCTAAGGCTTTTCTGTGCTGTAATAAATGAAAAATAAAACCTACAGCTTTAGCTCATCTGACTCCCATGGAAGGGAAAGTGGCTGAATTAACAGGCAGCTGAGCCATTTTGGTTCTAAATTACTATTTGTACTCTTTTGGTATTTCTCTTTTGCAAGCTACAAGATTTAACTATAACCACTGGAAGGCAAAGAAAGCTGACACCAGCGCGCATGTCAAAGAAAGAAAGATGATAAACAGCAGTCTTCTGGTAACAGACCTTTATTAGACCTTCTTTTGGAATTATGAAGTAAAAATACCAAGCTCTCACATTTCTTTGAATTAAAATGTAGCTGGCTGTCCCTTGGCCTGGGTAGTGGCATCACTTAGGTATGACAGTTACAGACACCCTGAAGGGTTAAGGGTCAAAAAATTAAGTGTAGTCCCAATTGTTCCACTAAGAGGAAGCGTGACCTTGAGTGAATTATTCCACTTCCATATAACTCTGTTTCTTCATGATTCCAAAAAAGGAAATGAGTAGTCTTGACCTTTCACCAGGACTAGGAGCTGTGCTGGAACAGAGTGACGTGGATCCAGTATTGTTGAGACAGGTGAAGAAGAGAGCACAAGAATACAACAGCAAAGCAGTTGTAAAGATAGTGGAACCAAACACAGACTGAGAGGGAGAAAAGGTGAGCTTCCCAACTGCAGTAGCAGGCCCCACAAAGAAGGATCCAGCAAGAACCAGGGACCTTTAACAGGGATGCCAAGACAACTCCATGGGGAAAGAATAGTCTTTTCAACAACCATTAGTACAAGTGGATATCCAACATTAAAGAACGAGGTTGGACTCCTACCCCACACCATATACACAACTTAACTCAGAATAATCAAAACCCATTGTGAGAATTAAAACTACAAAAACTCTTAGGAGAAAACATAGACCTAACTCTTCCTGACCTTGGATAAGGCAGTGGTTTCTTAGATATGGCACCAAAAGCACAAGCAACAGAACCAAAAATTGGTAATTTGGACACCATCTAAATTAAAATCTTTGGTGCTTCACAGGACACTATTAAGAAATTGAAGTTAATATACAGAATAGAGAAAAATTTTACAAAGCACTATCTGATAAAGGCACTGCATCTCACATATAGCAACCACTCATACAATTCAATAATAGAAAGACTGATTTAAAAATGGACAATGGGCCCAGACAGACATTTTCCCAAAGAAGGTACACAAATGTCAGTAACCACAAGAAAATCCACCAGGGAAATGCAAATCAACACAATGAGATACCACTTGCTACGATATTATGATAAAGAAGATGGATAACAGCAAGTGTTGGTGAGGATGCAGTCTGCAAGCAGGAATGTGAAATGCTACAGCTACTGTGGAAAACATCCCACCAGTTGTTTGAAAAGTGAAGCGCAGAGTTACTATTATGAACAGGTAACTCCACTCCTATTCTATTCCCCAAAGAAATGAAAATATATGTCCACACAAAAACTTGTACAAATATGTTCATAGCAGCATTACTCATAATTGCCAAAAAGTAGAAATGTCCAAAATGTCCATCAACTGATGTGGTACATCCATACAGTGAAATGTCATTTGGTGCTATAAAGAAATGAAGTACTGGTACACGTTCAATATGGTTGATCCTAGAAAACACACTAAGTAAAAGAAGCGTGTCGTAAGAGACCATATTGTACGATTCTATATACACAGAATGTCCAGAATAGGGAAATCTACCTAAAAAGTAGACTTCTTAGGTCTGAGGAAGTTGAGGAAAGTGATAGCCAAGGACACAGGGTCTCTTTTGGGGGCCAGGAAAATATTCTAAAATTGATGCAATTCCATGAATATACCTGAAACCACAGAACTGTACACTATAAGTAGGGGAACTGCATGGTATGTGAATTATATGTCAATAAAGCTGTTAATCCAATCCCTCTTTCTCTCCTAAAAAACAAAGGGTCAGGTCCTGTCTTCACTCTGCAGGAGTAGCATGACTCTTGACCCAATATAATTACTAATGGATCCCTTTTACTCTCAGAAAGATCCTGGTATGTGATATTACATAGGGGGCTTTGCCCCTCTGGACCTCATATATTTCCCCATATGTACAACAAGGTATACCACATTCTAACAATCTTTGAACCTTGCACTATGCTGTATTCCACAAAAGCTCCATTTTAGAAGCTGTAAAAGCATACTTTGGTGGCCACAAAGTTCACCAGGAATTGCAAGATGAACCCAAATTAGCAAAGAGCTGAAGCCCTGGGCTCATACTGATCACTGGATCCCAAGACCCAGAGGAAAGACAAAACCTAATTCTTGAGTCTGTCAAAGTTACTGATACTCATATTTCCCCACAGTTAAGAAAGGCGACCCAATCTTTCCAATGCAAAGTACCCTAACCATATCCCCTACAAATGAAAAAAGATTAAAAACTCAAGAGCCTTGCCCAGTAGAAAATCCAGTGTCCTTAAGGAACTGTGGTTAGCCAGTGGTCAGTCATAGACTTCTCTAAATGGGAGTTTGTCAGACCATGCTAAAGGGTCTGATACTGTGATGGTCAAGGTCATCTAATGATACAGTGGAATGCTTATTTCCTTGTCCTGCTTACCCATGATTGCTTAAGAGATAAAAATACTATACCAAAGTAGGTCAAGAGGAATCATCTGTTTTTCATGCCTTCTCTACTCATAAAAATATACCTGAAGAAAGTCTTTATATTCTCACCTACCTCCCAACTCCTAGGTCACTTCAGAATTAGCATTCATGAGACAGGACAGACACATACACTGCAGTGTCTATCATGCCAATGTACATACACACAAGCATATCTCTGGGGTTTGCAGCAACAGATTATTAGGAACATGGTAAACTAAGAGAAACTCCCTTTTAGTTCATTGAAAAGAAAGTTTTGTGCTATTATCTGTTCATTTCTTCTTTGCAAGAGAGAACCTTTTTTATCAATATCATCTCTGAGTAACTACTTTGAAGATGATACACAGTGTATTAAATATTGTTATTTTCTTTTTTTAAAAAAAAGAAATATGGTGAAGGTAAAAGAGGGAGAAGGCACAGAATGACATCACTCCCACCAATTCATCCAAGAATGGGGAGAGAGAGATGCCCACCAGGGTCACTGAGAGGGAAATAAAATGAGACAGGAGAATGGGGCAAAATGACCCTAAAGAGCCAGCAGCACTGGGCATGAAGCCAGCTATGCAGGGAAGTGACGGCGCAAGCAGGGCAAAGCTTTCTCTGAAGGCAGGAGAGCGATCAAAAGGGACAACACAAATGGTACCAAGATTCCCAATGAGCCTCTACCTAAGGGACATGGGGCTTTGTCTCTTTAGAATGTCAAGGTCAGGAGGGAAAAGAACAAGGAACCATTCAAAAACTGGAGGCTGAGAGGAAGGGAGAGAGAAGCCATCAGTTTTCTGCATGCCAGACTTTGTGTCCACAGGTTTCTGCTGGTTGGTGGTCTGTAGCTTTCATGGAGTGGGCAGGGTCCCTCCTAGCTTCAGCTTGCCAGGTAAGATCACAGCTGGCAGTGGTGCAGTTTCTACATCCAAGGGGTTCGTGGGGCTGGGAGTCTACTGCTACTCAGAGTCCACATTTCAGGATGATGTGGTAGCCATCATTGCTCTCAGCTGCAACAGAGAAACACAGGCATATTTCACAGGAATAGAGGCACAAGTTGTGATATTTGCGAGTCCCAAAAGGCACAGGATTAGGGTACCAGCAGAGGTGCCAAAATAAGGCCACATAAAGGAAGGAGAGACTTCAGCACCCTACCTTAGTATCTGTCTTGCCAAGTTACGCTCTAACAATGGACCTTTCCACCATAGCCAAGGGTAACAGCACCCATGTCCAAAGAGACTTTGGACAAACTGGGGCTCCCATGCCCATAAAGGCATTCATTTCCTGTGCTATAGTTTGGATATGAAATGTCTCCCAAAGGCCCATGTGGAACTAGTGGAAGGAAGCTATGTCACTGGGGGTATGCCCTTGAAGGAGACTGTGGGATTCTGGCTCCTTTTCTCTCCCTATCTGTTTTCCCACTGGTAGGAGATGAGTAGCTTACCCTTTCATGTTCTCCCACCACTGCGTGCTGCCTTGTAACTGGCCCAAAAAAATAGGGGCAGTTGACCATGAACTAGAACCTCCACAACTGTGAACCAAAATAAACCTTCCCTCTTTTTAAGTTGTCTCAAGCATTTTGTTACAGTAATGGAAAGCTAACTAATACAGACTAGACTCACAAAATAAGGAGTGAAGTGGCCTCATCACAGTTCAGGGTCCATGACCCAGTCACAGGTCTTCTCTTCCAACACTGCCCATCTGATTACTCTACCAGTGTCAAGGAGAAACCACACCAGGCCATTCTCAGCCTTTTATGAATAGACACATTGTCCTGCCACAAAGCTCTCTCACTGCAGAGAGTGGGTGTGCTGATATTCTCTCAGGATACCTAGCTCAGGTGGATCCTTGTGTCCCCCCTCAAAGTCTTCAATCCATTCTTATGGCCACTGTATTCCATGCTTAGGCTTCCTGGAGATCCTTTAAGAAAATGCAAACAGATCTTGTTTCTACTTAGCCCTGAGCTCATGGAGAACAAATTGCCTGGCTCAGGATCTCCCCTTCAAAAGTGACTCTGAGGCCATTCTCACTAATTCTACATTTCCAGGAAGGCCGTGTTTTCTTCTTCCCAAAGATATTCTAGCTGGCCGCCTTCTGGAGGGGCCCACACAGGCTGCTCTGTGCTCACTCCACAACCCCACAGGATGCACATAATATGCTTCCATTACACAAGGTAGGACCAGAGGGCTTTACCTTTCAACGTGCTGAGGATAAAACAAGATTCGTCTTGGAAATTCTGTACCATCTGAAAAGTAAAAGAGAAAACATGTTGCTTCAATGATGAGTTCAATGATGAGACCCAAAGCCTGGACACGCACAGATTCAGAAATGACCATCCACAAAAGTCAGGCACATGGTGACACAACCACTGCTGAAAAATGTAGATAAAGTAATGATGTGTGCCACCAGTGGAATTTAGTAACAAGTCTGCCTGCAAAGGATGGAAAGCAGTCTGGATGGGGTTAAGTTGCTTCTGTTAGCTTGGTAATGTGGTGCACACCTGTAATCCCAGCACTCAGGAGGCCGAGGCAGGAGGATCACTGTGAGTTTGAGGCCAGCCTGGGCTATATAGTGAGTTCAAGGCCACTTTGAACTACATAGTGAAACTCTGTCTCACAAAAAGAAGCTCCCATTCCCTAGGGGACTCTGAGATTTGTTTATATTTGTTTTGCAATTTCTGTGTCACTGGGTCTTCTAATTTCTATAATGGACATATGATAGAACATGGACATGTACAATAGCAACAGAGAAAAAACAACACATAATAATGCACTGTAATAATGTACTGTAAAACCACGTTTTGGCCAACAATGAACCATATATACAATGATGGTGCCAGAATGTTACAAGAGCTGAAAAAGTCTATCACTTTGTGACAGTACAGCTATGCTAAGTAACACAGCTGCAAATGCACTGTTCATGTTTGTGGTGATGGTGCAATTTACCTCCTATGCTGCCAGTTAGTATACAGAATATCTAATACTTGATGATGATAGTAAATAATAAATCCCTCCATCGTTTATGTATCTTTTGATATTTTAGAGTTTGTTTCTTCTACTTACAGAAAGTTTGTCATGTTTCACTAGCAGCAGCCTCAAACATGCTTACGGCACCTTTCAGCTGCATGGAGAGGCTATGCACCATGAATGACTTACACCATTTAGGTTTGTATCAGTGCAGCCTAGGATGTTTGCATGATGACGAGTTCATCTAATGAAGTATTTCTCAGAAAGTGTCAAGTTGTTTAAGTGATGTATGACTCTAAATTTTGTTTTTTAAGCTTAGCAATGAGTAGGCTCAGTGTATCACTATCCCAAGATGATTAGATATAGAGGAAGCTGCAGAGGTGGCAGGAAACCAGTGATAACTTCAGGGCTTCCCTAGTGTCCTCATTGTGATGAACTCCCCAGGGACCTTTGGTAACTTTCTCTCATCCCGGCCCTACCTATAAAATGGAGCTGTTTCAGGGATTAAAAATATAACCAGTACAAGGTGTGATGGTGCCCACTCGCAATCCCAGCTACTCTGGAGGCTGAGGCAGAAGGATCACAAGTTCAAGGGCAGCCCGGGCAACTTGCTGAGATCTTTTCTCAAAGCAAAACAGGCTGAAGACAGAGCCCAGGGGTAAAGTATTCCTGGGTTTGATCCCTAGTACCACCAATAAAACAAAACAAACAGAACAAAACAAACAAAGCAATGGAAAGCAATATCCACATCTGGTGGAGGTGGAAACCTTCAGAATAAATTCCACGTGACCTAGCAGGGTGACCATGTACATTTCTCCTGCAATACGTGTGCCTTACCACAAGCACATCCAAACCCTGGGCCTTGGGCTGAAGTGGCCCTGGACAACTAGTAATGCAGCCCCACACAATTTTAACATTATCATGTGACTTTTAGTGATTTTTTTTCAACGACCAATATGCATGGTGCTCAAGCCGGGCTGCATAGGCCATGACAGAATACCATGTCAGGGAGGGCATAGCTCAGTTCTGATGTCACCTCCTGCACCTGCCACACACAGGTGAATCAAACCTATGCACCCACATGCATCAGATGTTACATGAGCTCACGCGATTTAGTGAGTAAACCTCAGCCATTACCAGTAATAGCACCACCTCATATGCGGGCACCTGTGAAGACAGGTATTTATTTCCACTAATTATTCTTATTTAAGTTTTCTTATTTAATGATTAAACTTGGGCCTTCCTGTGTTATTTCAGAAAATAAGTTAAAACTATATGGTTACTTATATACATTAGCTACTTTACATATTTTATGTGTGACCTAAGACTATTCCCCTTCATCAGTGTGTCCCAGGCAAGCCAAAAGGTTGGACAGCATGCCCAAAATAAACTCTGGCACTCACAGAGGCAGGCATGAGAATGTTCAGAGCAATGCTCTCCATAGTGACACAAAACTCAAAGCAACTCCATGTCAGTCAATAGCAGAAGCAAACCAACTGTGATCTAAGCATACATGCTGCTCAGCAGAGCCCCAATATCAGCTGTCCAGCCAGCACGCCACAATCTCAGAAATATAATGCAGAAACTAGTGGTGCACACCTATGATCTCAGCACTCTGGGAAGCTGAGGCAGGAGGATCCCAAGCTCAAGCCCAGCCTGGGCAATGTAGCCATGTGGTAAATCCATGACTCAAAAAAAAAAAAAAAAAAAGATCTGGGGATGTATGCTATATTTCATGATAGACATTTCAAGAATATTAGAAATACAGCAGTATCCACATACACAAACATGCACAAAAAACCACACACTACCCAACACAACAGCAAAGCTCCTTCACAAATATAAAAAATGTAACCCACATTGGGAACATAGCTCAGAGGGACAGCATTTGTGTGGCAATCCCCAGCACCACAAAACACAGAACAAAACTGCATCCACATTCTATTACTTGCTCTGGATTTTTGCCTCAGATCTTAGAAATTCATCCACTGCCGACGCCTGGCCCTCTCTGCCGGGCTAATGATGCATGAAGTGCGTTTTTCTATATTGCTGCCTGCTCCATCCAGGGCCACTGCCAGCCCAACCACTTGGGCACAGAAAGCCTGAAGCAGCGCCCACACGGGCTTAATCAGTAACTCGCGTGTTTAATTAAGCACCTTGCACCCCAGGGGCCAGCTCCTCGGCTGGCCAGGCTGCCTCCGGCGCTTTGGGCAATTAAGAACCAAAGGTTTCCAATTGACTCAGGGTTAAGAGGCAAGGAGACTTTGGGGAATAAGAATCACCTACTTAGCCAGGGTGGCATTTGAGTTCTGTTCTCTGCTTCACTTGCTTAACTGCCTCCTCTCGGGGGCACAGGGCAGGCGGGGGCAGGAACTTCCTTAGGGACCCATGAAATTGCAAGGGTTCCTCACATTCCTGCCTTTTGTCTTCCCAAAAAGAAATCTGCTCTGAAACAGAAGGCAACATGCCTTCCAAGCCACTGTGACATGCCTTCCAGGCTGCTACAACTGCCCATCGCTCAGGGCACATTTGCCTTCTTGGCTGCTCTCTTCAGTAATCGCCCATGCTAGAAGCTTCGCACTTCACTTTCCTTACCTGTAAAATGGGAGCAAATGAAAAAATAGTTGCATTGGATGTGAATGTCAACTTGTGGAAGGAATTTTGACTTGGTTACAAAAATTGCAAGTTGCAGATGTGTGTACAGATGAATCTTCATGTGTATTTTAAATCCCACACCTTCCCACCCCCACACACTAGGCCGTGCACACAGACACACACCCAAAACATCTGGCAGAATCACATCAAACCTGTCGTCAGCCCTCCTGAGGCCAAAAAAGTCTTCCACAGCTGCCACGTGCTTTCTATATTGCTTGACTTATGCTAGTTATAAATTAAAGGAAAGAAGAAACAGTCTTGGCAACTTCCAGGATGAAGATGAAACTGGTGAAGATTAAAGGGCTGCGGCAGTTGTAATGAGTGGCAGGAGGATTACTACCGCTTGGACACACCCCCGCCCAAAATATCTTGTCTGAAAACAAGTGTCTAGCATGGCACAGTCCGCTACACAGTGTTCTCATTTTACCCCAACTGGCCAGATAGGTATCATCACTCCCATCCCACAGATGCAGATCTGAGGCTCAGAGAGACTGCGTGAATTTCCACAGGGCCACTCTGCTGAGAGGACGCAGTTCTGGATGCAGACACCAGTCCATCTCCGCAGCCCATATTTTCTGTCCTTTTTCTAGCCCCCATTCCAGTACCGTTTCTTCTCTAATCCTCTACACAGGGGATTTTAGAGTTTCTGGAAGCATCTTAGGGCCTTCTGGGAGCCGGGTCCCACCAGCATCATTCTCCTTTTGAGTAAAGCTGGGTATCCACTGGTCAGAGCAGCTGGACTACCTGGGTTCCCACCATAGCTCCTCCTGGGCTTCGATAATAGAAAGCGGACAGACACAGCACCCAGTATGTGCTGCCACTTGTCACTATTATTATTTGAAAAGAAGGCACAGGATGGAACAAACATAAAAGCATCTGCTCTACGATGTACGCAGAATGCTTGCCCTGGTCAGCAGCCTGTCAACACTCCACTCCTTGGAAAGTGGGTACAATTCCAAGTGCCCATTCAATACCTGGGCCCTCTGCCCTCAGCTGCTTCTGCCTACAGAGGGCCGGTGTTTCTGGGGACAGACCCAAGTAGGCTGCAGCACCTTTACCCTTTCGCAGGGACCCTTGCTCTCAGTTCCTGTGAGGCAAAGATGCTCCCTCATCTACCGCCAAGCCCTTTTACCCCTCCCTGCGGCTCACTCTGGGGCTGCCGTCTACTCTGGGAGAGCACGGTTCTGACTTCCACAGCCCTGACTCAGAGGTTTGCGGGCAGGGGTGGGATTTGTGCCAATGGGGCTGCAAGGCACCCAGCCAGACCCAGATGTGACCTCAGAGATCTTCTGCTAGCTCTCCAGGCAGCCCCTGTGGCTGAGCAGGTGGCACACTGGTGAAACCTGTCTGCAAGCTCCAACACTTCTGGCCAAGGGTCCTCCCGCAAATCCAAAGCCCCAGTCCTGGGGGCTGCGCTGGCAGCAGCCTCACCTCATTGCTCACCAGCACGTGGATGCCCGTGGGGCCCTGCCGGTAGACTCGGTGGATGTGCTGGGGGGGGATGCTGTACAGGTTGGCGATCTTCTCAACCAGCTCCAAGGTAGTCAGCTCTTCCAAGAAGATGGCATGGTACACTGCAAGAGGAGGGGAGAGCACCTTCCTTTTAAGTGGCCATTAAGTTAGCAGGTACCCACCTACAATCCTCCACCCCGTTGTAAGAAAGCAATTGCTGCTTTATAAGGATGTTCCTGGCAGCAGGACAAAAACCTGCCCACCCAGCAGCCTCCGGCCCCTGAGCACAGTGCAGTCCACCCTCTTGGGGAGGGGAGGCAGGCCAGGCTCTCTGTTCCCCTTGCTCCCTTGGCACACTTGTGTGAAACGTAGAAGTTTCTGGACCCCCTCCAGACCCAAGGACACTCAGGGGCAGGAGGCATCAGGTGATTCTGACGTGCAGCCAGGTGTGCATGCTGCTTTGGGAGGGAGGCGGAGCCCCAGGTCACCTTTCCATCCTTCCCAGGCTAGAAAGGTTACTGATGGCATCAGGTGGCAGCCTGACATATGAAGACAGTTGTTATCTGACAGCAGAAGAGCCTGGGCCTGGGCCTTTCCTCCCTACCACACAAGCAAAACACACCCAGCTTGAGCACTGTGACCCCCAGGGAGCAGGGCAGGCCCCAGGGGGCCCAGTGTGGTCAGCAAGTTGGGAGATACCGGCGGCGCTGACAATGGAAATGCTTCCTTAGACAAAACCCAGGGCTGGCGGAAGGAGCAAACTCCAGGGACAAACCGATAGGTTACTCAATTCTGAGGAGACTCGAGGTCCTCAAATGCAAACACAGCTGGATTAAACTCAAGGTTCCCAAATCACTCCCTCCACTAAGGAACACTTAGTTCAAAACCTGGGTTAGAGGCCTGATAGTTTCTAAGTGGCTGAGGTTGCAGAGCTCTGGTGACGCCAAGCTCCGCTCTCCCAAGATCTCAAGGTGGCTGAGTCACCATCAAAGAATGCAGTCACTGCGTCCAGTCTCTCCCAGTGCTCAGACTGGGAAGAAGCTCAGGCCTCCCTTCTAGGCCCCTCTGTGGGACAGAACTCTACTGGTGCTTCTTTTATCTTCTTCAACCTTGTGTAGCCAGTTTCATTATTTTCTGATTTTATACCTGAAACAAATCAGGTCCCGGGTCATAAAGAACTGGATGGACCCCAGGTTGACATGGTTCCTCATAGCCTTTGCCACCAGCAGTGCTCAGAGTGAGGGCAGTGGCCTCTGACTCGACACCTCCTCTCCTTGGGAGCCACATGGGGCACAGTCTGGGGAGACTCTGCCAATCATGGGTTCAAATCCTGACTCCGCCACTCACCGGACCCTGGAGGACCTGGAGCAGGACAACACCTCCCCAAGCCTCAGACTGTGCCCTGGGGTAATGGAGTGCTGCACGGCTGCCCAAAGTGAGGTCAGACCACACACGACGCCCTGCCCAAGAGCACACATGGGAAACCCAGCAAACTCAGCCTGTCCCTCACAGGCCAACACGGAAAAGCAGGGGACAAGGCCTGGATGCTCATCAGAAATGCAGAGGCTGGGCCAGGCCTTGAGGCCAAGGCTGAAGGATCTGAATGTTTTGGGTCTGGGCTCTGCTCTCCACCACTTACCACAGAGGCTGTTGTCACCGCTGCCATCCCGCTTCTGCTGTAGGGACGCTCGGTTCTGCTCCAGCTCCTGACAGACATAAATGGTCATCTTCGGCCTCACGTTCCTGGCAGGAGGAAAGGAAATAAACATCACATGTGGGGGACTGAGCTCCATGGTTCTAGAATGTTCTGGAACACAGTGTGCAGCCTGCAGTGGGAAAGATTCAGGGAAGAAGCAAGATGGGGGTAGGGATGCAGGATGCCTTTCCTGGAAGGGTAGGAAGGGACAGAGTCTAGCTCACTGGACCTTTAAGAACTCCCCACAGGAGTCCCCGGGAGAAGAGCAATGGATAACCCTCCCCACGGCCTGTGGCATACCAAGACCTCAAGAGCGGGCTGGGGGTATCGCTCCGTGGTAAAGCACACGCTTTGCCACATGCGAGGCTGTGGGCTTCACCCACAGTGCCACCGAATAAAAAGAACTTTACACACAGAACTCATGCTGTCCTCATACAGCCTTTGAGGGAGCTTGGTTCACTGTCATTTCCCAGATGGAGAAAGTGAGGCTCAGGAGAGTGAAAGGCTTCCCTCATCACACAGCTCGTAAGAGACAGACATGGGCTCCAAACCCAAGCACTCCCCCTGCCCTGTCTGTGTGTGGCTATTAAGATTTTAGCACCGTGGTAGAGTGCATGCTTAGCCCACATGAGGCCTTGGATGGGAACCCCAGCACCAGAAAATAAAAAGTGAAGTTCACTCACGTTAAATAAAATTTAAAATTAAGTTTGCCTGTCGTATTAGCACAAGCGTCCAACAGCTCCTGGACTGGCTGGCTGCTCAGTCCCCACCAGCCAGCCCACCCACAGGCCAAGAAGGTCAGCAAGGAGCTTGCTAGCTTCCCTGAGAAACCAACACCCACCTGCCTTTGATGGCGTTGAACAGCCGGATTCCATCTGCAGGGCCACAGATCTGGACCAGATCATCTCTGGACATCTTCAGCAAGTCAGAACCTAGGCAGGGAAATGAGTCACCCCTCACATGGGACACAGGAAAGGCCTCCATCCCTGAGCCCCTGCAGACACCCCATATGGGGGCTGGGGGCCTGGGGAGCTCCAGCCTCACCCTTAGGGAGCATCAGACACTCCCAAGAGAAACAACACAGAACTAAACCACCTCAGAAGCTTGCCGCTCACAAGGTGCCAGAAGCCAAAAGCTGGTGCTCACTAAGTGTATGAATCCTCAGCAGGTCCTGCCCTGCCCCTTCCTCAATAATTTCAGTAGCACTCATCTCTGGGTGTCATTTTATCAGCATGCTGGCAGCGATGACACGCGCATGTCTCTGTGTATAAGTATACCACTCATAGGAGGCTGACCATCTGAACACCCCTGGGGCCTCAGCACAGATTAGGGGAGAACCTTAGCCTCCCACAGCCCCTCATCCCAGCCTGTGGAGCTCTGTGACCTTGTTATATATGATCCACTGCATGAATACACCATGGCTCACGCATTCACTCTGTTGACAGGTGCGTCCAGCTCAGGCTGCTATGAAGAGGCTCTGGGAATCATTCTCTACATGTCTCTGGTCAGCACAGACGGCATGTCTGCTGGGTCTCAGGCATGCCTCTGTCTGGCTCTGGCAGAAATTGCCTAAGTGTTTCCTGAAGTGCTGTCCCCATACAGTCCTACCAACTTGGACTCTCTTTTTTAAGTTTATTGGTGCATTTAGATACACATAATAATCACATTCATAGTAGGGAATTTGTATGTGTACATGATATACTTTGATTCCTCTTTTCTCCCATTCCCCTCTTCTCCCTTCAACCTATCTTCCCTTCCCTATTTACAAAGCTTTGTTTCCATCTTATCCTTTTTTAAATTGTTTTTTCCTTTTCCCTTCCCAAGCCTAGTTCCTCTTTCCTTTTGAACAATTTCTTCTCATTTCACAGTATCTCTTGTACACTTTGGTCCTTGTTTGCTCTTTCAGTTTCTCACACCCAGGAGACAATATGATGTTCACTCATGTGAGTCTGATTTATTTCACTTAAGAGTATGGTCTCAAATTGCATCCATTTACATGGAAATGCCTCCAATTTATCTGTTTTTATGGCAGAGTAGTTTTCTATTGTATAAAAAAGCTACATCTTTATCCATTGCTTGGCTGGTGGCATCTGGGTTATTTCCAAGATTTAGCTACTACAAACTGTGCTGCTATAAACATGGGTGTGCATAATTCACTGTGGTATGGTGCTTTTAATTCTTCAAGCACAAGTATGCTAGAAGCTGCAATGTGAGATTTTGTCTCAGGTGTGATTCTGCAGGCACACAGGCTCCCTGCGCACTGGGAGTGAACGCCAGGGTCCTTCCACCACTCTGCTGGGGCCCTGCCTTCCTGAGTCCCTCAGGGCCTCTTTGACCTCATCACTTCCCCCAGCCCAACCTCCAGGACTCTGCCGCAATCACCTGAGTCCTCTGCTCTGACCACAGCGAGAAGGCATCCGTCTCGTGGCCTTTGCTCTGTTTCTCTCTGCTTGCTGAGCTCTTCACCCTAAGCCCCCTCAGCTAGCTCCCTTCCTCCTGCTCTGTAGCCTTTGCTCAAGGAGACCTCGGCAAGCCCTCACCCACCCAGACGAGCCCTCGCCCAGCTCCATCCTGTCACAGGCCCTTTACACCACACTGAGGCAGGTAGTTCACATCTGTACTACCTCAAAGTCAAAAGCCCGTGGGGCAAGGTCCAGCCAGCCCCTCCCAGTGACACCCTAACACCAGGAAGCCTCTTAGGGACACAGAGATGGAAATAAACAGATGCTGCTTCTCGTCCACAGCCACAGATAGCTGAGGAGACCGTCCTCAGATATAGGCCAGACCCCTACGCCCAGTCACTCTGGACTAAGTTACTTGACAGCCAGGCCACCTTTGCACCTCTTGGCTTGGGCTTTCTCTTTGAGGACCATCAGCTGGGGCTTCCAAAACCTTTCTTTTCTCCTTCTGGTACGGGGATGGAACCTAGGGCCTCACACATGCTAGGCAAGTACTACACCACCGCTGAGCTCCACTGCCAACACTTTTTATTTTGCTCAAGTCTTGAGAAGTTGCCCAGGATGGCCTCAAACTTCCAAGCCTCCTGCATCAGCCTCCTGAATTGCTGGGATTACAGGTGTGCTCAACCACACCCAGCCTCCAAAAACTTTATAAAGAAGGAAACAGCAGCTTTCCCATCTCATCTATGGCTTTCCCTTCCAATCCCAGCAGACAAGATTTGGAGACAGCGAGACAAGCAGTATTTTGGGCAGGAAAAATACAGTAAAGATGTGCAGAGTATACATTGCCCTATTTGCACAAAGGGACCCTTCCTGGGCAGGTCAGAGCCTACCCACTCCTGCAGGGGAGGGGAGCGGAGTAAAGTCAGCCAGCAGTCCCCTAAAGTCATAGGTGCACGGGGACATTGAAAAGAAGTGCCTTGCACCTGCCGAATCTCCTCTTTCTGGTTTGGCCCAGGGCCAGCACACACGAGAGAGAACCCATACTACGGGGAGTCTCCTGGACACAGCTACAGGCCCTCCAGGGCAGAGGGCAGGTCCTGGACTGTGCTTCTCAGGTACCTGTGGGTTTTAAACACAGTTCCAAGATGCTCACCTGAGAAGCTGGCAAAGAGGCGGCAGAACTGTGAGAATCTGTTGCGGTGGAGCCACTGCTGGGCATCCTGGATGGAGGCCGATGGCAGCAGGTGCTGCAGGAGAGAGAGGAGGCCTTGAGGTGCTGCTCGAGCCCACCAGGGCCGCCACCCCACAGCTGGGCACACACACTTACATCACTGCCCATGGGCAGGGCCTCCACCTGGTGGGTCGGCGAGCTGTTGCTGCAATGGAAAAGGGACAGGAAATGAGGATAGGGACAGGAAATGAGGATGCGGACAGTCCCTGGAGACACGAGGAAGGTCTAGTCACCGAGCCAGGTGCTTATGTCCCATCAAGTATGAGACTTGTAAAGGAAACGAGTCCTCCAGAATTTCTAGAGTCAGGCAAAGGTAAGAGGTCGGCATCCAATCCCTCCGAATCCCTGAAGAACTTACGGATGTGGGCAGGAAGTTCTGAAGGGCTGCACTGGCCTGGGCCTTGCTAGCCCCTGATCTCGAGAAGTCAGAGCAACCACTGTGGCCCCTTGCTGGCTGAGGAGAGTCCCACCAGCACAGGGTTTCACCCCCGCCCCAGCCCAAGAGGAAAGCAGGCTGACCAAGGGGACCTCGCCACACTCCTCCACATAATCAGCACCTGGAAATCCGTGGCCAAACCAGAGTCATCAACCAAATCCTTTCCATATGGCCGGAATTTGCAGTGGTTACACAGCCACAGGTTGGCATCCATCCATGAGGAAAATGCTGCCAGGTGTTCCCAGCAGGGAGGCCCATGGCCCTCTTTAAGGGCCCACTTAGGAAGGTGCAGATTTGAACACCTGCACCTGTAGGTAAGGGAAAGATACACCCCCCACCCCATGAATCTTCCAGACGGATGGCTGTGACAGCTGTATGATGACAGCAGCGTACATAAGGCTGCTCGACTGCATGATAGAGACTATGTTATACAGACTTTACCATATTTTTTTAAAAAATCCTCACAGGGATGACTCTCAGGCCAGGTGTTAGGAACAACAGCTGCCTTTCACGAAAATGAAGTCAGTGCCAGGCATCACGCACGTGATACTCCTGTCCCATGTGGAATTCTATGCCCCCTTTGTAGTGGGCAAACCAAGACTCAGGGAGGTTAAGGAAGTTAACCCGAACAAGGCGTAGATGTAAAACTAGGCCTGCTTGAGCTAATTATAACCCTTTTCTTTGTTTCTCAGGAGGATGCTTCACTTTGGCAAAATCAAGTTCATGGACAACCTTGCTGTTTCATTAGAAAGTTCTGGAAACATCTAGAAAGCTCTGGGAAGTCTGCCAAGCAGGGCTTCAAGATAGTGGTGGGCAAAAACCACTTGGGTTCTGCACTCACCTATGGAACCTCCTAGCCTGGCATCCCTCTGCCTCCATCCCTGCACCCAGAGCAGGCCTGGGAGCTATTGCAGTAACGTCAGAGGCCCTGGGCTACGCAGCCTGCGACAGTCAGAATCTGCTGGTGATTTGGCACTGTCCCATCGCAGCATCCTTGAGGCTGAGCCATCTGACCATCTGAAGAGTGAGGCAGGGGGCAGTGAGGTCAGCTTCAGTGCTATAAACTCTGAAACCTGGGGCTGGAGGATCCTGCGTGATGTCCCTCTACTGAGTGTGCAAAGGTGATGATAAGGAGCTAGAAAGGGTTCCCATCGGGGCCACCCAGCACTTTCTTGTGACTCTCTGGAAGGGTTGTCCTTCCCCAGAGGGGGCCTAAGGCTAGCCCACAAGGCTGTCCTAACCCACCTCAGGCCCTAGTTTTACAAGGAAAGCAGTGAGCTGCTTGCTGTCCCACCATATGATGCTTATAGATGTGTAGACAGAAGAACAAAAGAGCCATGCAAAAGCTAAACACAGCTGTCACTACGACACCACTTAGCCATGCTGAAACCTAAACAGATGCCAGGCAATGGAAAGAAGGGAAAACCCAGAAGGGAACCCACCCCCTCTGCGATCCAGGGACCCAAAGGGAAAAAAGGTGAGACCTACCCTTCTCCAAGGCCGAAGCTGTTGGGAGAGCCATTGTAGCTCGGGGACGGGGCACTGTTCACCTGGTACGCCACATCCGGCCATGGCGAGCACTGAGGGAGGACAGACAAGGCGGCATGACTCATGAGCAGAAATCCCCAGCAAGAGCAGAGGCCACAAAGGCGCTGACCCATCAACTCGGCCCTTCCAAGGATGCATCTGTCAGCACCAGTGCATGACACCGATTTGTCCTCTACAGCCCGTGTTTGTTGGGTATTCACAATGACCCACAGCGGCGCAGGTTCCTAGGGTCACACAGTGGAAGTCAAACACAGCAGAGAAATGATCTAACATTCAGGAAGTCATCCCTGAACGCACAAACTGGGAAAGATGCCGGCTCAAGCTTCCTAGCGGTCAAACCCAAGAAGCAAATGTCACAGTCATGTGATGTTGAGCCCACAAGAAAAGAGGATGAGGAAAACACCTGTTGCTCAGAAACTTCTTCCCGCACAGACCAGTGTGGGTACACGAGTGCCAGCGGACTACGGGCAACTTCCAAAGAAAAAATAAATATAGAATTCACTATTAAAACCCGTGCTCTTTGAAAAGAAAAACCTGTGGACAGGGCCGTGGCTGGCAGGAGAGGCATTTGTGTTCTGGCAGCACAACTGTGGGTGTCTGTTCCATGTCAGCCTCCTGCAGAGGACTCCAGGGGACAGACACACACAGAATGGGATGTGTGTCCTCAAGCAATTCTAGTGTAGAAGTTCAAAACAAGACCACCTGGGTTCCCTCAAAAAAAAAAAACTAAATAAGAATGCAAAGGCCTGCAGGTTCGCTGGGGGGAAGTGAGCAGACCAATGAACGCTGCATTTCTTCCTTTGCTGGCAATCCGGAGAGGGCCACAGGGAGCATTCCTGAAGATTTACTATCACCTACCCAGCCCCAGCCTCGGTAAATGTTTAACTGCTGTGAGCGTGGGCTGGAATTTGTTGGTGCTAAATCCTGAAGCCTGAGGAGGAACGTTGATGAGCCGATAGAAGAGGGAGCCAGCACCTCCCCAGGTCGAGGTCGCAGCCCAGCGGGCTTCCAGTATCGACATCACCCTGTGATGAGTTCAGGGATGGATGGGCATGAAGCCCACTGACACCTCTCCTCTGCTCAGAAACCAAGAGATCAGCAAAGAAGCTGAGGCTCAGCCAGGAAGAGAAGTATGCCACTAGGTAAGGGACATTTCCGGCAGTCTCACCAGCACAGGCAGGGACAGGTGTGGGAAGCAAGCAGTCTGAGTTCTCAACCATAAAATGCAACTCCTCCTGGACCAAAGCTTTCTGGCCACTGTTGGCCTGTCACGTAAAATGCCACGTGCTTGACCACGATGGCACCTGACTGCAGATCCTCTTCCACTTGTGGCCCATCGCGCACACACACAGAGGCAGGCATCCGCAGAGCTGGTGCTGCCCACCCTGGCCTTTGTGCTTCTGTGCCCAAGCCTTACTCTAATAGAGCCTTGGCCCCAGCTGGCCAGCATGGTCAAGTCTTACCCATGCTTTCTGCAGAAGTCCAGTTACTCCAGAATAAATGCCAACACGGGTTAGGGGCCTGACTGCAGAACACAGTGAGGAAGAGTTGTTCCAGGAACACAGCCCAGAAAAAGTAGACACGCTGGCTGTGGCCTTTCACAGCAAGCCCCTTGAAGATAGCCCCAGACATAAGGGTGGCTGCAGCATGCTGCCTTTGGTGTTAGCATTAAGAGGAAATGCTTTTCAGTATCTACCCAAACAACAAAATAACCAGGATTGGGGCTAGATGTGTGACTCAGTGGCAGAGTGCTTGCCTGGCACACACATGGCCCTGGGTTCCCTCCTCAAAACTGCAAAACAGAGCCAGGTGTGGTGGTGTGTGCCTCCAATCCCAGTACTCAAGGGGCTGAAGTAGGAAGATTGCTACAAGTTCAAGGTCAGTTTGGGCTATATGGTGAGTTCAAGGCCAGCCTGAACGACATAGTGAGACTTGCACCCAAAAGCCAGCAAATACATAGTCCAATGTAGTGACCCACTCTGAGAAAGGAGCCCTGTGGACAATCTCGCCATGTGCAGACCTGCACATTCATGGTTATTCACTGACTGAGCACTACTCTTGAAAACTAAAAAGGTGGAGGAGGAGCAAGGAGGCTCTTTATGAACAGGCACGGAACAGAGTCCAAATAAGCTATTAAATGAAAATAACGCATGATGCATGGTGTATGCTGTTGACTTGGGGCACAACCATGTGCTCCTCAGCCATAGGTACAGAGAAGGTCAGGCCGATGCGTGTGGAACCAGTGACGCCAGCTACACTGGAGAGAGCAGCAGAGAGGCTGCAGCAGTGCTGGCTGGGATATTTTGGGTTGTACACTATTTTGAATTTTGCACTGTGTGAACCTGTTACCTATTCAAAGTAACAAAAACACCCTAATTTTGGAAAGTTAAATGCACACAAAGGCAGCAGAGAATGTGAAACAAGTTCTGAACCACCTTCCCACCTCTGGGTTGTAGACAAAGGGCGTCCCAGACCCAGGCAATACGCACAGCTGCATAAGAGCTCTCCAGTGAGGATCTTGCCTGCCCAGACAGAAGACCTTCCCAGACTCTAAAGGACAGCCCTGACCCTGGCAGGGGGCCTGGGAGGTTCTGTCCCCAGCCCGTGGCTCACCTCTGTGAGGATGGTGGTTTCATAGGACGGCTGGTACTTCTCCTTCTCTTGAGCGGTTCTTTTCTCCATCTTTTCCCGGTCTGTCTTCTGTTTCCGGTCAGCTCCCTTTGGCTGCAAGAACAAAGCATGGGGTCCAATCGGTCCAAAGAAGCCAAAGTGGCAGCTGGCAAGAAAACCCAGGCCTGTGCACTCCCTGCCTCATCCTGGGACTGCAAAGTACAGTAGAATCTACTGGACAGGACAGCAGTGTGGAGGACCACGTGGGCAACTCCCCTTGAAGGAGGAGCAGTTGTCTCCATTTTGGCTGAGCCCAACCCTGTTTCCATGTACTGACATGTACAGAGCTGGCTAGGACTTTTCCTTATCGCTTCAATTAGCTTTAAGCAATGCATATCAGTCCAGCCGAGGTGCTGATGGTAGTCTTTGAAGACGGCAGGCAGTGTTTCCCCGGACCCGCACCCGTTGTTCCCTTGTGTGAGCCAGAACAAGGTGGGATGAAGAGCCAGTGCTCCATGCTGTCTGCTGGGAGACAGAGGCTATAACTCCCAGGGCTTAAAAAATTACACATCAGAGCTAAAGCATCAACCCTAAAACATTAGATACTACCTCAATTGTGTTATGTAAACCACTCCTTCTCCATATCCTTCTCTCTGCATATTGCCAAGGTGATTTCAGGGCTCCTACCAAGCTAAGCTCATAGGACTCATCTCTTTCCCAAGATTCTCACAGTCACTCATCCTCACTTCAGCGTCACTCACTCCTTTCTTCACAAATTAATAAAACCCAGGTTTGGCTCTGGGTTGAATTCTGGATAGCCATCATCAATGGCTGGACTTAGGACCCCTTGGCTCCCCATAACTACAAATATGCCTTCGTGTCTTTATTCTCACCATGGGCTACACTGGAAGTATTAGATTGGAATTAACTCACTAGAATTCCAATAACTTTTCATGGGATTACAAATACAAACTTCCTGGTCTGTAATGAGGACTGGGAAGGGCTCTCAATACAGCTGCTCTCTCACCTGAACAGCTTCAAGCTTGCAGCCCTCCATGGAGCCTGTTACTGGGCCTGCCCCTCGGCTGCTCATGGGGAAGTGCATGGAAAAGACTGCTATTAATGGCCACTTGCTTCCAGAAGGGACCAACCCTGGGGGAATAGGACAAATCACAATGTGTTCCTGAGGCCACCCATGAAGAGCAAAGGAAGTGAAAGAAGTGCCCACTGGTTGGGTTCGTTCTAAGCTGGTGGGCTGGGAAAGGCTGACCATCTATGGAAGACCCCTCACCCCAACTCTGAGGACTCCCACCAAGCCCCTAGCTTAATCTTCATGCACAGGGTAGCAGGGTGACATTTCTACCCTGACATGACTAAGTGATAGCAGGAGAGGCTGCCAATACTTGGCACCCAGCAAACGGAGTCACTTAAGAAGGCTGTTGGGTCCTCATAGCCACTCTCATGCCTCAGGGTGATGTCTGCCCTGGACAGAAGCGGGACCACAAGGAGACATGAGTGACACTTCCACCAACAATGAATCACAGGCCAGGCTAGGCCCACTAGCTGTAGGATGTCCACAGTGGACCAGAATTGCCAGTTCCCACAGTGGGCAGAGGGCCCAGAGACGACCGTGGCCACTTATGCGTAGACACAGAATGGGTGGAATAATGGCCCCAAAGGTGTCTGCACCCTCTAATCCCCAGAATGTGTGCACTTTATCTTATGTGGCAAAGGGAGAATTACATCTGCAGATGGAATTAAGATGCTAATCAATTGACATTCAAATACAAAGATAATCCTGACTATCTGAATGGGCCCTTTAAAAGGCCCAAGGGAAGGAGCAGAGGTCAGGCGGTGTCCTGTGAGAAGGACAAGGGCCTCTTGCTGGCTTTGAAGAGGGAGGGAGGGGCCCCAGGCTACAGAATAGATAGCATGGCCTCTGGAAGCTGGAAAAGAAATTGATTCTCCTCTAACATCCAGCAAGGAATGCTGGCCCACTGGCGCCGTTAGCCAAGTGAGACCCACCTCAGACTCCTGACTGATTTTAAGGTATCTATGTACATAGTTTTGGGTTTTTTGTTTTGTTTGATCTTGCAGTGCTGGGAATGGAATTCAGGGCCTTGCACATGCTAGGCACATACTCTACCACTGAGCTATGCCTCAGGTATTTTTTATTTTCATTTTCTTCATCTATCTATCTATCTCTCTATCTATTATCTATCATCTATCTATCATCTATCTGTCTATTGATCTATCTACCTATCAACCAATCATGGTAGTGAGGAGTGAACCTGCGGCCTTAACACTGTGCTATATCGCCAGTCTTTCTATTAATTTTTCTTTTTTTTTGAGACAGAGTATCTCTAAGTTGCCAAGGAGCCAAGGGGCTCAAACTTGTGCTTTTCCTGCCTCAGCCTCCTGAGAGCTGGGATTATAGGGATGCACTACTGCACCCAGCTCTAGTTTTGGAGTTTCTCTGTTTATATTTTGAGACAGGATCTCACTATGTTTGTTTTTTTTTTAACCACCATCTAAATTTGACTTTTTTTTATTTTAAAGAGAGTAGTACATGAGAAACAAACAAACAAAAAAAATAGAACAGTAGCAGCATACCAGTACTACAAACATAAACAAATCAAAGCAAGAACATTCAAAATGATACAGGGTCTCAAGACAAAATAATATGAATCAACAGTGGTTGTTACATTACATACCGCTATCCTCAACTACATTGCTCAGACTACCAGATATAAGAATGAAAGATTGCTCAAACCATTAAAGAGAATAAGAAAATAATTCTTCAATAAAACATCAGAGATAATACAGAGTTTCACTAGACAAGAAGGTAGGAGTTCGCCATTGTAATTTCATTGCATATTGTTACCTTCAAATCAGTTGCTCAGACCACCAGACATAAGCATGCATAATCGATCAGAACATAAAAAATTGTAAGCATTAACTGTTCATATCAGTACACTATCAGACATCAGCAGTACAGTTATCGCAGCTATTCATATATATATTTATATTTTGCATTCCTTCTTTCTTTTTTCTTCTTTCCCTCATTCTAGTCATTCCTTCCTTGAGCAATTTCTTTCCCTTTCCTATCATCTATTGTATGTTTTGAGTTTTACCTAGTCTTTCAGGTTCCTTCACCAATGAGACAATATGATATTTACACATGTGGGTCCGATTTATTTCATTTATGAGTATGGTCTCTAGTTGCATCCATTTACCTACAAAAGCCTCTAGTTTATCTTTTTTAATAGCTGAGTAATACTCCATTGTATAAAAATACCACATCTTTTTTATCCATTCCTCAGTGGATTGGCATCTGGGTTGTTTCCAAGATTTAGCTACAACAAACTGTGCTGCTATAAACATGGGTGCACATATATCACTGTGGTATGATGTCTTTAATTCTTCTGGGAAAATACCCAGAAGGGGAATAGCTGGATTAAAGGGGACTTCCAACCCTAGTTTTGTGAGGAATCTCCAAATTGATTTCCAGAGTGGTTTCACCAATCTACACCCCCATCAGCAGTGGAGTAGGGTTCCTTTCTCCTTACAGCCTCTCCAGCATTTGTAATTGGTTGATTTCTTGATGATAGCCATTCTTTCTGGGGTGAGATAGAATCTCAGTGTTGTTGATAAACCAACAACTAACATCATACTAAATGGTCAAAAATTGAAAGCTTTCACTTTAAAATCAGGAACAAGACAAGAATATCCACTGTCACCACTCCTATTCAATATAGTTCTGGAAATATTAGCTAAAGCAATTAGACAAGAGAGAGAAATAAAAGGAATAAGGATAGGAAAGGAAGAAGTGAAATTATCATTATTCACAGATGACATGATACTCTACATAGAAGACCCAAAAACTCCACCAAAAGGCTCATGGATTTAATAACCAAATTCAATAACATAGCTGGATAACAAAATTAACACTCAAAAATCAATAGCATTCCTGCACACAAGTAATAAACAGACTGAGAGAGAAATTAGGGAAACCATACCTTTAACAATAGTATCTAAAAGCTGAAATACTCAGGATCTCACTATGTTGCTCAGACTGGCCTGAAACTCCTGGCCCAAGTGATTAATGTGCATCACTTTTAGCCACTAACTCTGTGGCACAACAGTAGCAAACAAATGCAATGGAGGGGCATGAGTCCCTCGGGGGCCTCCACTCCCAGGACTCCTAATCCTAAGTGGATTCGAAAGACAGCTCCTTCACTTCTCTGGCAAGGAAGACAAACTCCTCTTCCTCACACTGCTTCTGCCTCCCTGCCTGGGCTGGCATCACTCACCGACCAGGCTGTGCCCATCCAGGGCCGGCCAGGGCCCAGGAGCCCCCCACCCACACCCCCGGGAGGCAGACCTCTCACTGCGGGGTCCCCAGTGCAGAGACCTTCCCTGCTTCCTTAGGCTGTGGCACCAGCACGTTCCCCAAATCCCTGCCAAGGGCTCACTGGGTACCAGGCCCTGCAAAGGATGCTACAGAGGGAAACAGTACAGTCCTGTCTTCCGCAGCCACCAGGGTCACGGTTCTACCTGCAGGGATTTACTTCCACATCTACTCCAGGTCAGGAAAACCATCTCAGACCCAGCTTTCTCTCTCAGGAGTCCTGTCTAAAATGACTCACTCTTGATCACCAAGCCCAGCGGATGGAATTTTGTCATCTGGTTCCAAATCTACCTTGATGTGAAGGAGGTGAACAGACAGGCACTAGGGTTAGGGACTAAGTTCCTGCCGGGGAGGTGACAACTCGCTCTGCGGGCACCTGCTAGAGGCACATGATACGGGTCAGGCCTTTGGGGGACAAGGCCATCCTCACACCGTGACATCGCTCCCCATCCTGAGGGTGCACAGGACAGCGAGTTGGACTGCTGGCTGCCATCTTCAGTAAAGAACCAGTCCAGACTGATATGAAAAACAGTGACAGGAGACTGCAGGGGATGAGGCAAGAATGGGAGAAATAGGAAGCACCTCTAAGAATCTGAAAATGCTTCTTCCTCTGAGACTCTCTCTCTCTGTCTCTCTCTCCCTCCCTCCCCCTTCCCTCTCTCCTGTGAGCGTGTGTGCAGTGCTAGGGACCAAACCCAGGACCTCCTATGTGCTAGGCAGGTGCTCACCACTGCGCTACACCCTCTGTCTTCTTCTTCTAGGACAAAGCCCATGTAGAGAATAACATCTGCATCAGGCCAGGCACCCAAGGTGGTAGGGGGTGGGCATGACTTCACAGTCTAGGGAATCTGATGTGAGAACCTGCCAGCATGTTTAAAAAGTCTGTAAATATGCCCATCAGTCATTCTTATAAAGTACTCACACAGCTAAGCACTGACATCCAGAGACCCCATCATTTCTGCTGAAAGCTGAGCAGGCGCTGCAGACGAGAAGATGCCCGAGTGGGACAGGAGGCAGCAGCAGGCTCCTGTCCCTGTATGGACGTGTGGCTCCTGCCCACTGGTAGTACAGACAGAAGCCCTGGGCTACAGGAATGCTGCACTGCTGGCTTGGCCTCTAGGCACAATCTCAGCATCACCCTGGCAGCATTGCTCAGGCAGATTCCTCCCCAAGCAGGAAGTCAGGCAGCCTTCCTACCTTGAACACCTTGATCTGGCAGCTGGCTGAGTGCAGGTGCTCCGTGTACTCCCCATTCTCATTCTGCTTAAACGTGTCGATCTGCACCCGGAACGGCACTCCCTTCTCGCCCCCGTGCTTCCTGGGGGTGAACTCCGTGCTGATACAGTGCACCTAGGAGAGGATGAGGGGCAGGCAGTCAGGCAGGGGCAGGCAGGCAGTTCTGGACTTCTCCAGGGCTGCTCTCCGTCCCTTCTGCCTCCTTGGTGTAGAGCTGCTACCAGCTTCCTGCTTTCCCAGGCCACTGCACCAGGCCAGGGCCTCCCCGTCTTCCACCTGTGAGACACACCTGCTGCCTCTGGTCCTTTACTGTAGGCCTCTGCCTGACGCTGCTCCAGGCCACTGTCCCTGACAACCCGGCTCTGGCTCCTCACCCAGGGACCTCTCCCTTGGCAAAGCCAGACTTCAAGGCAAAGCCCTTGGTCAAACCCTGACCCCTCTCTGATCCACTGGTTACACGGCCAGGCTGGACACATAACCAGAATGCTGGAGCCATTTCTACATTTCTCATACACTTGATACATATTTTTTTAATATGGTAGCAATGTTATAGTAATATAATATATACCACTAAAATATATAATCACATCATAATAATGACTCTTAAGCACAATAAAAATATGGTTTAAAAAAGAGATCTTTTTCTTGAGTGATTTCCATGGAACAGATACTGCATTAATAGCTTTATACTCATGACCTGATTTACAAATAGGTGGGAAAACTAACAGAGACGAAGTGTACTAGGAGACACACAGTGAAAGCGAGTGAGAGCGGATAGAGCCGACAGTGGCCACATCCTGGGCCACCATGAGCTCACCTGGCTTACAGCAGGGCAGGACCCACACTGGGGGTGGATAAAGAAATGACTCACTCAATAGCAGCAATTATAATGGGGAAAACATTTATTTTCCAATTATCTCTGCTAGGAAATACTGACTTTTTAAAAGCTTATATAAGCAGAACCCAAACAGAATTCTAAAGCATTCCACATCTTCTTCCTAACCCTGTTGTCCAACTAGCTCTGTGACTGAGGAGGGCTCCTATTTCACATTGCTGTCAGTCCCACCCAATGGGTTGCTTTGGGGAACTTGTGCCCTGAACCCCAAAGCTCTCCGGCTGGCTCACCTGAATGAATGCTGATGCCCTCTTTGCAGGGTCCCATAAGAACTCAACTGCGTTCAGCTGGGTTGGGCTGGCCCTGGGGTCCAAGATACCAACAGACAGTGGAATATCTGCACGCACACACACACAAAAGTGCAAGTGTCAGCCTCTCCCAAATGTTCAGGGAGGGATCCTCATTATAGGTCCAAATTCCTTCACCATAATTTGAAATACCCCAGAGAGCTCTTAGGAGCCTTCACCCCATTTGATTTTGTTATAGTAATACGGTGGCCAGGTGCCTGTTAGAAGTCTTCCCTGATGCTACAAGTATAAGTACCCTATCATTCTATCTTCTAAATTGCAAAACTCACCTGGCCCCAAGGGCTGGCAACAAAGCATTGTGGGCTAGTACCTGAGTTCTCAAAATTCTGTTTTCATTGCCTGTTATGGTTTGTGTCTAGATGTCCCTCCAAAGCCTCATGCAGTCATGGGGCAGGCTTCTAGAGTCTGTGATTGATTCATGGTCCAACGCTGGGATTATGGGTGTGAGTGCTACACCCACCCTGGGGCAGGCAGCCTGCATACAATATAAGGGAGGGAAAGAGGCTTGTTGCTGCTCCTCCCTTTCTGCTCTTGCTGCTTTTGCTGCCTTCCATGAACTGTTGCCCCTGTGCATGCCACCTTGCCTTGGAGCCAACTGATTATGGACTGAAATAACTACAAACTGTGAACTAAATAAACCTTTCCTTCCTTAATCTTGGGTGTCAAGTATTTTGTCCCAGCCATGAGAAAAAAGTAACTAAGACATTGCCCATCAGTTTCTGTGGTGCCCACCCTTCCTTCTGCAGAGTTTTCTGGGAATTCTCTGACAACAGGGTTTTCTGAGTGCCTCAGGCCGGAACTCACCAATGTCCAGGATGCGGTCCCCTGGCCGGCTCCACCTCCAGCCCTCCAGCTGCTGATGCTCTGTGTACTGCAGCCGGCGGTCATGAAAAACCACTCGAATGATGCTCTGGGGAAGGCAGGTGATGAGGGAGACTCACCATGGGGCCAACGGGAGCCCAAGAAGAACCCCACCCACCTTCCCAGCCCAGTAAGGACACACCCTCCTCACATTTCTAGGCCTCTCCCTTTGGTAGCTCCTTCCCACCCTCAGTATCCATGTATTACTCTATCTTCAAAATCCCAAGAATACTTAGAATGGTAAGAATAAGGAATACCTTTTCTATTTTTCAGTACTCTGGATTGAACCAGGGCCTTTGCATGGAACTACATCCCCGCTTCCTTTTTATTTTTTATTTGAGAGAGGGTCTCACTAAGTCACTAAATTGCCCAGGCTGAGCTTAAACTTGTGATTCACCATCTCAGCTTCACAGTGCTGAGTTTAGAGCTGTGCACCACCCTGGCTGGCTTAATGACTACCATTTGCCATAGGATTGCAAAATGACCTACACCCATGTCTGATTTATAAACCCTCTGTGCACATGAACAAACTACAGCTCAGAAAGGCTCAGTAAGTGGCAAGAACTAGAGACTGCTCCATCATTCCAAGCCACTCTGGCCCTGATGGTGCCACCCTGTTGGCTCCACATTGGGGCATGACACTCCAGAGAACAGGAATGGGGGCCTCAGTGTACCCATGAAGGCCAAGAGCCAATCAGAGCACCGTCTCTCCTTCTGAGGCCTTTCTCCACCCCCAGAAAGCCCAGGTGCTCGGACCCCAGGCAACCCCCAGTTCTCCACCTCCAAGTGTGACCAATACCACCCAGCAAGGCTTACAGGGCTTACCTTGACATATTTTGTATTCAGATCTTGAAAGTCTCCCAACTTCCGGTTCTCCAGCAGTCGGATTTCATATGATTGACCTAGAGGGAAGTCAATGGTACAATTTCCATTTCTGAGTAGTTCCAAATTTGGGGCCCATCCAGCTAGCAGCCTTCTCTTTGTTCTCAGTACCTACTCATGCCTCAAGATTCAGAGGGATGAAAGAGAAAAGAAAAGTCTACGGCCAGCTGAGTTCACTCTCTAGCCTGAACCCCAAGGCTGTCCATTCAGCCTGGTAGACCTTGGAAACCCCAAAGAATGCACTGTGGGGATTCTTCATCTTGCCAGTGGCCAAAGAAATAGACCCAAGAAAAGAAGTTAGCACTAAAACCATAGAACATGACTCTGTGTCTTCACAAGGAACCCACATACACACCTGGATGAAGAGCATGGTATTTAAGTTGACATTAGTAGGTAAATAACTGACCACACCACTCCTGAGAGCAAGCTTAAAGGAAGAAGCCTGTTAAACATTGTCTCTGGTGACAGAACAAAAAGCATTCTCTCCAGTTAAAAGAATCCCATGCATCTGAGGGTGTGGGGTTTTATTCGGTGACATAGACCCAGAATAATCTGGTGAGAGAACACAGATGGAAAAATGATCCATCTATAAACACAACATAAAACTCAACAGTATCTGTAAATAACCTGCAGAAAACTATACATTTTTTAAAGAATGATAGATACAACTTGGATAAAAATGACACAATATGTTTCAGGATGGAAGATGATAGATGTATATCAAATAAAGTCCATTTTTCCCAATATAAATATTATGCTACAATTCTGAAACACTCCAGCATGTATCACAGCTAATAAAGGATGTTTTCCAAGTAAAAGAATAAATTATTTAATCAGAAATGGAAAATCAAATTCTTCATTTTTTTCAGTATTGGGGATTGAACTCGGGACTCCACCTATGCTAAGCAAGTGCTCTACCACTGAGCTACATCCCCAGCCCCTTTCGAGTTTTAATAACTATAGACTCACCTGAATGAAGATAACTCTTGGTGATGGCATCTTATGGAAATACATCACATCATCAAAACCTGGAAAGTGACACTGACTGCATATATTTCACAGATCTACAGACCTTACTGGGATTTCCCTGGGTTTTACATTCATTTATATTTATGTTTTCTCTCAATCTGAAACTGCAATCTCTGTCTCTGTCTCTGTTTCTGTCTCTCTCTCTCTCTCTCTGTCTCACACACACACACACACACACACACACACACACACACACACACAATTTTATCCCAATGTAGAGACTATTCAAAGTACAGATTCTCAGTGGGGTGTGGTGGCACATGCCTGTAATTCCAGCACTCAGGAGGCTGAAGCAGAAGGATCACCATGATTTCAAGGCCAGCCTGGGCTACAAAGTGAGTGTAAAGCCAACCTGAACTACATAGTGAGACCTTGTCTTGAAAAAGAAAAAGAAAAAGAAAATGGAAAAGAAAAAACAAAGTACAGAGTCTCACTTCACAGCACATATCAAAATAAGTTACCACTGGATTAAAAAGTCAATGTCTTAAGTGGGGGAGGAAAAGGACATACTTACCAATGGATACGAGTATGTTATACAGGAGGGATAAATTTAATACATCTATTTACAACATCATAAGCATCAATAATAACAATAATGTATCTTGAAATATGGTAAGAACGGATGTCAAGCTTTCTCACTACAAAAAAAAAGTACGTTGGGCAATGCATACACTAAGTAGCTCAATAGAGCCACACCATCTTGCACACATATTTCAAGACATTTTAAAACTCAATTTTTTAAGGTTTTATTTCAATATGAATGACGACCTATCAGACACTTAATAGGAAAGGACTTTGGGGTTGAAAAATCAATGGGAAAAAGGAAACCTAACCATATAAAACATAAAACTATATATACATATAAATGTAAAAAACTAGTTAATGCAAATAAACTAGGAACAGCAAATCTACTGGCTAACAGTGATTACACAGGTTTTAAAAATCAATTGATTCAATAAATAGAAGGGCTGGGGTGTAGCTTGATGGCAGAACACCTGCCTAGAATGTGCAAGGCCCTGGGTTTGCTCACCAGCACAGAAAAGAAAGGAAAGAGTATTCAGCCCCTTCTTTTAGTAGGTTGAGTATGGTCCTCACACGATATCCCTGATCCTACTTCCATACACCTGGGAATGTTGACCTTATACAGTGTATTTGTAAAAACAGACCTTAGCTGATAAAGTAAGTTCAGGATCCTGAGATGAGGTGATAATCCCAGATTACCTGAGTGGGCCTTAAATCCAATGATGAGTGCCTTTATTCAGAGACACACAGGAGGCAGCTGTCATCTGACCACAGAGACAGAGACTGGACTGATGTGGCCATGAGCCAAGGAATGCAAACACTAAGGGGGACAAAGGAATCATGTCCCCTAAATGCCCTGAAGGGACCTGTGTGCCCCTGGCAATTCCCTACTTCCAGCCTCCAGCACTGTGAGCAAATAGCTGTCTGTCTTTGTGTATGTGTGTACGTGTGTGTGTTACTGGGAGTTGAACCCAGGCCCTTCACACTGTGTTACGTTCCCAGCCCTTTTTGTGTTCATTTTTACACTTTGAGGTCAACACACATTTAGTAATTTGTTACGGCAGGCAAAAGAAACAAATCTGTCCACACTCCACACCAGTGAATAATGAAATATGCAAAGAATAGGAAATTAAATCATTCATCCAAATATTTGCTGAGCAGCTATGACATCCCAAGTGCCCTGGAATCCTAGGCACACAGTGGTCACCCAACTTGTGCATCTCAGGGCTTGCTCCCCACAGTCTCTCGAGGCCTGGACACGATGCTGGCCACACGCAGATAGGGCCGTGCGGCCAGCCCCGTCTGAGTCTGCAGTTACCTTACGACATGACTGGCACATGTTCTGTGCACATGCACACCATGCCAGCTTGTTCAGGGGGATGGCTAGGTGCCATACACCCCAACACTCCAAACCCTCATGCTGCCCACCTGCCTGCCTTGAAAGGGTGGTGATGGCCTAATCAGAAGGGCAACTTTCTGAAAGAGGCAGATTTTTAGATACATTTCTGGGCTTCTAAACCAAGAGTCCAGTACACCCTTGCCATGGACGTAAAAAGAGCCTTACACACCCTAACTGGTTTTTCCAGTGTTCCCCGCCTTTCCTGATGAAGAATGCAGATGGCGCTGGCAGAGGCCCAAGGGCCAAGTGGTCATTATGTGAGTTTACAGGTGCCCCAGGGGGCCAATTAGTACTGACCCCAGGCTCTGCGGGCAACCGCAACTCAGGCCAGGCAGAGGGGCACTGCCTGTCCCCAGAGAGCCCTTTCCACCCGCCTAAGGGGCAGAACTACTGAGTGAGACCTAGGTGCCAAATGGTGCACTGCTGCACAGAACACACATAATCCAGGCTTCACAAGGCACAGGCCGTGGCTCCCATCAAGCCCAAAAGGCTGCTGGTCAAGCCGAGTAGCGCCCACGACCCTGGGATATTCAGCTTCCACGACCTTGCTCATCTGCTGGGGCGTGATCCTGGATGAGGGCTGTAGGACCGAACCTTCTCCAGCAGCACCATCTTCCCTTGGCCCTTGCTTAGGCCCTGCCCCAGCTACACTGCCCTCCCCACCTCTTCCTGCCCGTGCCTGCCTCAAGGACAACACACTGTGACCGCACCAACTTCCTCACACTACACAGTGCCATCCAGAAGGCCACTATCCAGGGCATGTAAGCCAAACTGCCCTAGGGTACCACTCGGGTACTGACTCATCAGAGCCCCAGGATGAATTAAGAGTGGCATTTAGTACTGAGATGGCCCCTGGACAGGAGGAAGCAGAGGCCCAGAGAGGTTACCTGACTAGAGAAAGGTCACTCAGGTAGGCATGGAATCTAAGTCTGCTTCCAGCACCTACCACACTATGCCAGATCCTACCTCCGGGCACAGATTCTCTTTTGCCCTCTCCTTTCTGCAAGGCACCTGCTCCCCCTGCACTCTCCCTCAGGTCAGTCTCCAGGGCATCACTGTGTAACTCCCCCGCAAGTGAACATCTTTTCTGTTTGTTTCCCAAATTCCAAACAGTGATTTGAGAGGAGAGGGGAAAAACCACTACAGGACATAGTAAAAGTTCTAGCCAGGCATAATCCCAGCACTCAGGAGGCTGAGACAGAAGGGTCACAGTGAGTTCAAGGGTAGCCTGAACTATATGGCAAGACCCTGTCTCAAAAAACAAACAAACAAACAAAAAGAAAGTTCTAAATCTGTTCTGATTTCAGAACTGTGAAATCTAGAGAAATTTAAAAACAAAAAGGTTAGGGGTATAGCTCAGGGATAGAGTGCTTGACTAGCATGTAAGATGCCTCAGGCACTGCGTTCCATTCCAGCAGTGCAAAAAAAAAAGGAAAAAAGTTGCTCTTAGAATTTAAAAGTAGGTCAGCATAACCCCCTATACCATATATGCCACCCTGCTCTGGGCCAGTACACGGCTCAGCTCCTCATCTGCAGTTTCTCACTTAGTCCTCTCAATAATCCTAGGAGGAAAACCTACGGCTGTCCACTTTATATTGGGGAAATTAAATTGCAAAGAGGGTAGGTGTCTGTTAAAGATCAAGTTAGGATCTGTCTCACTCCTAAGACTGAGCTACCAGACCACCACGTCATACCCACAAGGCACCTACAGGATGTACACCTGTGGCATAGGTCCCACCTGACTCCGGGATGGCAAGAGGCTGGCCATTATATTCCACCTGAATTTCCTGATACTCATTTTATGCCATGACCCTCTTCCACACACATAACCTTCCCCTTCCCTTCTACTTCAAATCCCTGACTCTGAACTGAGGTGGACCAGGTGACCACACTGTGCCATGCACTTGCTTGTGATGGACAGGTCTCCTGGGCCACATGGTTCCATGCGTACAGTATGTTCACAAGACTGAGTACGTTCACAAGACCAAGTAAAGCTGTGGCAACTAAAACTGTGTTCTGTTTGGCACGAAGACACACAGACCCACCAACAAGCAAGACAAGCCCAGATTA